TCTATCCACTGAGCCAAACCAGCTATGGCACATGTACATTTCTCCCGTGAAGACAATTTTTTTTGTTTTCTTGGGCTCACATATCGATTATGTGCATACATTTTATTTCTCGCAGCTAAACCAGTAGGAGTGGAATTGCAGAGTCACAGAGTGAGTGTAATGTTTAACTTTACAGGAATCTGCCGGACTGTTTGTGGGGAAGGCTGCACCATTTTTGCAGGCCCACCTGCAACAGGAGAAGCCGGGCGGGGGGGGGGGGGGGGGGGGTCACGCCAGTCACACGGCTAGTTAAAGGAGCCGTTCTAACAGCTCAGTGGTCTCAACAGCAGGCAAGGTGGAAACACTCTCTCTTCCGCCGGAAGCCAGTTCCAGCATGTCAAAACTGCAAGAGTTCCATCGAAAGGTTTATGGGACTTGGGAGGCTCCACAAGGGCTGAGTCACATATGCTATTGCTTGCTGGGAATGGCTAAAGGCATTTCCCCAAACCTGAAAGGGATGGTTGTCTGCTGCCAGACAGCTCAGGGCATCTTTTTTTTTTTTTTTTTTTTTTTAATATATTTTATTGACTTTTTACAGAGAGGAGTAAGGGAGAGAGATAGAGAGCCAGAAACGTCGATGAGAGAGAAACATCGACCAGCCGCCTCCTGCACACCCCCCATCGGGGATGTGCCCGCAACCAACATACATGCCCTTGACCGGAATTGAACCCGGGACCTTTCAGTCCACAGACCAATGCTCTACCACTGAGCCAAACCGGTTTTGGCAGCTCAGGGAATCTTAATCGACATGTTATTGCCACCTACTGGCCAAACACCTGAACAGCCATAGGCTCTTGCCCTATCTGACAATGGATTCTGTACCTAACCTTACCCTTTGAAGTGTATGTCTCCACCTTGCCTTAGGACAATTTGTGTTAATAAAAAGCAAGGGGTCCTGAGACAAGGAGAACCTGGTTTCTTCAGCCAGGCTCCTCTGACGACCCCCGCCCCCCCCATATGCCTTTCAAAATTACGTTTCGTCTCTGGACTCTTATTTAATCTACACACAGCCCCTTCTCCAGGTTTCCTGAACCCTTCTAGATGCCAGATTAAGACTGCCATCGTTAATGCTGCCCAATGTCCAGCCTTACTCTTCCTGAGCTCTGAGCCAGGCTGCTCCTTCGGTGTCATTTTCTTTCTTTCTTTCTTTCTTTCTTTCTTTCTTTCTTTCTTTCTTTTTTTTTTTTTTTAAATATATTTTATTGATATTTTACAGAGAGGAGAAAGGGAGAGAGATAGAGAGCTAGAAACGTCGATGAGAGAGAAACATTGACCAGCTGCCTCTTGCACATCCCCCACCGGGGATGTGCCCGCAACCAATGTACATGTCCCTGACTGGAATCGAACCTGGGACCTTTCAGTCCGCAGACCGATGCTCTACCACTGAGCCAAACTGGTTTCGGCTGGTGTCATTTTCTGAGGTCTCCTTTTTCGCCCCCACTCAGTTGCCACTCCCTGGGTGATCTTAGCTGACCTCATGGTGGTGAATACCATCAGTGTGCTGGTGGCTTCTACCTGTCTGGCTGGGCCTCTCCTGAGCTCCACACCCGTGTACCCACTGCCTCCACGGCATCTCCCCTGGAGGCCCGAGCTGAGGCTTGACGTGTTCCTCCCACCGTCTTCTCACTTCTGGAAAAGGAGGGTCTAGACTTCCTGACACGCAGATTGTAAAATCGGGGGTGATGTCCTGGTGGGGCAACTCAGGTGGTTTGAGCGTCATCCCAGTATGCCAAGGTTGTGGGTTCAATCCACCACCGTCAGGACACATACAGGAATCAACCAACACCCCTGACTGGTTTGGCTCAGTGGATAGAGCGTCGGCCTGCGGACTGAAGGTTCGATTCCACATGCCTGAGGTTCGGGCTCAATCCCCAGGGCGGGGGGGCATGTAGAAGGCAGTGGATCAATGATTCTCTCTCATTGATGTTTCTATCTCTCTCTCTCTCTCACCCTTTCTCTCTGAAATCAATACACATATCTAACATAAATAAATAAAATTCTGCCCGGCTGAGGTGGCTCAGAGGTCGAGTGTCAACCTATGAACCCGGAGGTTATGGTTTGATTCCTAGTCAGGGCACATGACCAGGTTTCAGACTCAGTCTCCAGTAGGTAGTGTCCAGGAAGCAGCAGATCAATGATTCTTTCATTGATGTTCCTTTCTTTTTTTTTTCTTTTAAAATTTATTTTCATAGTATTTTAGTCTTTTAAAAAATATTTTTTATTGATTTCAGAGAGGAAGGGAGAGGGAGAGATAGAAACATCAATAATGAGAATCATTGATTGGCTGCCTCTTGCACGCCCCCTACTGGGGATCAAGCCCACAGCCTGGGCATGCGCCCTTGACTGGAATTGAACCTGGAACCCTTCAGTGTGCAGGCCGATGCTCTATCCACTGAGCCAAACCAAGTAGGCATCATTGCTGTTTCTATTTCTCCCTCTCCCTTCCTCTCTGAAATCAAATATATATATAATATATATATATATATTTACACTAGAGGCCTGGTGCATGGGTTTGCGCACTGGTGGGGGCGTGGCCTGTGGGGATAGGCCTGCTGTGGGAGCACCACTGAGCGGCTGTGGACCTGCCCTCTAGGTGGCTGCTGACTGAGGAATTTATCAGCCTGAGCTGATATACTGGGGCAATGTCTTGGCGTGTTCTGTGTCCTGGAGGGACCTGGCAGAGAGCCTGGCACCCCAGGCCGCTTGGTGAATGCCCTTGATCTGCGATGCCAGGTTGGTGACACCATCAGGGATGTTCAGAGCAGCCTGCTGCAGGATCCTCAGCCATCAGGACAGCCTCCCGGGGGTCCACAGCCACGTCTCCGCCTGTGCCGGCTCCCCGCACTCTTTCTGGAACGCACCCTAGAGGGCCTGCATCAGCTGGGGGCTCATGCCAGAGTCTGGATGGTCTCAGGGGGTGCAGAGACCAGGCCTCACGCTGGGCCTGCTAGCAGCTGCTCCCCTGGGTCAGTGCACCTCATAGCGACTGGTCGATGGGTCCTTCTAGTCGTTCTGCTGTTCAGTCGCTGGGATTGTGTGTGTGTGTGTGTGTGTGTGAAATCCTTCCCGTGACTCGTCTTACACAGTAAGCCCAGGGTTCTCACCACAGCCGATCTGTGTCCTGTCTTCTTCCTGCTCCCTCCAGCCCCACTGCTTTCTGAACACGTCGCCTCCTCCCTGCCTTTTGCTCACAGTTCCAACCACGCTGGCCTCCTTGCACGTTCTGCCTCAGGGCCTTTGCACTTGCTGTTCCCTCTGCCTGGGTCCTCCTCTAAGACTCCCATGGTTCACCTCCTCCCGAGAGGCCTCCCAAGCACCCACAGGACACAGCGCCCTCTGCAGGCTCCTCTCCCCCTCACTCTGCTTTCCCTCCACGGCCCCCCTCCCTTCCTGTCATACTGGACAGGGGCTCGCTTCTGCATTGCCCTCCTCCTCAGGACTCCGTGAGCTCCCCAAGGGCAGGGATCTGTCCTGCTCACTGCTGAGAGACAAAAACTATTATGGTCCCATTTTCCAGATGAAGAAACTGAGGCAGGAGAGGTGCAGGGAAGGTCTCCCCGCATGGATGTGGCGGAGCTGGGAGACTGAGGCACATTCATAAGAGCTGCCGGGATGACTGGTACAGGCCTCAGCTTGCCATGGGAACCCGTCAGGGATGCAGCCAGCAGCCAGGGGCCATCACTGCTTTGTGGGCACTGGGAGCAAAGCACCGCCACCAGAGGGCACTAGACTCACAGGAATGTTTCCTCATCACAAGGGCCAGAAGGCCACTTGCTGGCATTTGGTGGAGGGGCTGGCAGCCTGGCCATGCCCGGACAGACTCCCACAATGAACTGTCCTCCCCGGGGCCAGCAGTGCCACTAAACACTGGGCCCAGCGCCTGCCCTGCAACAGCCGTCCGGGAGAGCGGTTAAAATAAGACAAGGATTCCGCAGCCGCCTGCCTGGGCTCCAAAGTAGCCAGAACAGCCCAGCCAGCGTGGCTCAGGAGTTGAGCATCGACCTATGAACCAGGAGGTCCTGGTCTGATTCCCAGTCAGGGCACATGCCCAGGTTGTGGGCTCAATCCCCAGTGTGGTGTGTGCAGGAGGCAGCCGATCAATGATTCTCTCTTATCGATGTCTCTGTCTTTCCCTTCCTCTCTCTGAAATCAATAAACACATATTTAAAACAAAAAAGACCCCGGCCCTACCCAGGTTGGCTCAGTGGATAGAGCATCGTCCTGTGGATGAAGGGTCCCGTGATCGATTCCAGTCAAGGGCATGTACCTCCCCAGCCGGGGCCCTGATCAGGGTGCCTGCAGGAGGCAACCAATCAATGTGTTTCTCTCTTATCGATGTTTCCGCCTTCCCCTCTCTTCCACTCTCTTTGAAAATCAATGAAAAAAACAGAACAAAACAAAACAAAACACTAGCTCAGAACAAACCTGGCTCGGCCGCTGACGGCTCTGACCGCGGGCGAGTCTCGGAACCTTCCTGAGCGTCTGAAAAGTGGACCCCTCTCCCTCTGGCTGAGGAAGAAGGCAACACGTGTCAACGCCTGGAGCAACGCCCGGGAGGCACTCGCTGCCGCGTTGGCTGTGACTGTCAGTGTGAGTGGCAGGTGCTCGGGTCTAAACCCGTCACCCCTTCCAGTCGGGGCGCTCGGTGGGCGCTCGGTGCCTCTCGCTCAGGGCTTGCTGACTGGCTCACCAGGGCCCCAGGGAAGCAGACGGGAGGCCAGGGGGACCACAGGTTTATTGGGCTCCACACACGCACGCACGTGTCACACGACGACGGCACGGTACTCGGCACACGAGGAGGCCTCGGCCGCGCGGGGCCCGGAGGCAGTGGGCGCAGTCTCCTCCCTGCAGCCCAGACCCGGCGGGGCCTCCGGGGCAGCTGAGGGAGGGCTCCGGGGCCCCCAGGCCTGGAAGGGGAAGCGAGCAGGCAAGTCCATGGGGGGCCGGGGCGCAGGGCCGCCTCACTCCAGGGACTGAAGCATCAGCAGCTGTTTCAGCACCTTCGTCTGGCTGGTCTCGCGGATCTCGCCGGCCAGGAACATCTCGTCCACGACCGTGTAAACCTGGGCGGAGGGGGTGATGGAGGGCCTGGTGAGGGGAGGGGCCCGGATGCTGGTCCTGACCAGGGAATGGGGGGGGGGGGTCTCCGAGGCCTGAGAGCCAGGAAACGGGCGCCAGCAGGGCCGTGAGGTGGCACAGGGGTCACGGCCCACCCCGCCCTGCCCGTGGCCCCTCGGCCGCCCCCTCACCAGGAACCCACCTTGTAAAAATTGAACACCAGGTCCAGCTCACAGACGTTGTGGAAATATTCGTTTAGGACCTGGGAGAGGAAGAGAGACGGTGAGAGACGAGCAGGGAGAGACACAGAGACAGGAATAGGGGTCATCAGACAGAGATGGCAAAAAGGACAGAGACTGAGTGGGAGGGAGACGACGGGAGGGGGACGGAGAGGGAGAGGAAGAGAAACAGGAACGGAGATCAGATGACGACAGACAGGCCTGAGGGAGGGGAGAAGGGAATGGGGAAAGGGACACGTGGGCAGAGACAGACACAGACAGTTGCATAGACCACAGTGGGCTGCAGCAGAAACAAGGACCAAAAAAAAAAAAAAAAGGAAAAAGGCCGCAGCTTGTTTGGCTCAGTGGATAGAGCGTTGGCTTACGGACCAAAGGGTCCCGGGTTTGATTCCCGTCAAGGACAAATGCTTGGGATATAGGCTTGGTCCCCAGGGGGGTAGGGGGGTATGCAGGAGGCAGCTGATCGATGGTTCTGTCTCATCATTGATGTTTCTCTCTCTCTCTCTCTCTCCCTCCCTCCTCTCTGAAATCAATAAAAATATATTACACGAGGTTAAAAAGGAAACACAAAAAACAGGAGGAGGGTAGAGATAGGCGCTGCGGGCGAGGAGGTCTGCGGAGCGGGACAGGCGGTGCCATGCAGGAGCCGCCGCCCGCCGCCCGCCGCCCGCCGCCCGCCGCCCGCGGGCACGCACCTCCACGAAGTTGTGGATGGCCTCCAGGTAGGCCAGGTTGTTGTCGTTGACGTCCACGCAGATGCAGAAGTAGAGGCCGGCGTAGCGGCGATAGATGATCTTGAAGTTCCGGAACTGCGGGGAGAGACGGTCGGTGACAGGGGCTCCTCCCCCCGCCCCCCCCAAGCCCGGCGCGCTGGGCGGAGCGGGGCCAGCACGCCTCCTCCTTCCTCACGCCCCCGAGGCCCCGCTCTGTGCATGGCCTGTGCGGGGACCCGGCGATGGCGACACGGGCCTGGCCCTGGCCGTCACCGCCCGGGGCTGGCTGCAGGAGCCGAGCGGGGGCGGCTGACTCAGCCTGGAGGGCTTCCTGGAGGAGGGGCAGACCCGAGGTCTGCAGGACGAGCAGGAATGAATGAGCAGAGTATCCCACGCAGAGGGAACAGCTTGGACAAAAGCCCAGCTGCCCAGCAGGAGCCGGCGGGGCCCAGGCACCCTCCCACCTTGCCGTGGCTCCCTATCGCCACTCAACCGTGCGTCCACAGGCCCCGGTGGGGCTCCGACGCAGGGCGGGCTCTGTGCTGGGCAGCAGAGTCACCGCTTGTAACCAGGGCAACCCCAGCCTTGCTCTGAACTGAACTGGACAGAAACATTGCTCAGCAGCACACACAGCCCAGGCTGAGCGCGCATGGATGGGCCGCCGGCGCGAATCCCGTGTGTAAGCGGAGACGTGTGTGGGCTTGCAAAGGACGAAGCTGTCAGCCAGCAGCTGGAAACCCAGCCCGGGCCTGGCAGGGCCTGGTGCCCCCTGGCAGCAGCCGCGAAGGCCAACGTGAGCCCCTGATGCTGCTGCTTTCCCGGCTCATCCTGGGGTCGGCTTCTGGCATCCTCACAGGGATGCCTGCACACGGCCCGGATAATAAGCATGGGCGGGGCACACTCCACTTTTCTTTCTTTCTTTAAGACATTCTAATTGACTTTTAGAGAGAGGAAGGGAGAGGGAGAGACAAAAACATTGAGGTGAGAGGGAAATACACGCCCTACCCGGGACAGCCTGCCACGTGAGCCCTGAGCGGGGGGAGGGGGGGGGCAGACCGGGACCTCTCGGGGCTGGGAAGCCGCCCACCCAGCCGAGCCCCGCGGCCAGGGCTACCTTTGCTGTAACCGATACCGATTGTGACTTTAGAAAATGGTGCAGCCGAAACCGGCTCAATGTGGACTGAAGGGTCCCAGGTCCGATTCCGGTCGGGGGCATGTACCTTGGTTGCGGGCACATCCCCGGTGGGGGGTGTGCAGGAGGCAACTGGTCGATGTTTCTCTCTCTCATCGATGTTTCTAGCTCTCTATATCTCTCCCTTCCTCTCTGTAAAAAAAAGTATATTTTTAAAAATAATAATAAAGCCGCATTCCAGCCCCGCGCACACGCGGGCACTCGCATCCCTTCAACCTCAGCTGCCTGAGGCTCCGGCCTCACCCCCTGACTCTGTATCTTTACCACCAGCTCTGAGGCAGGGACTCAGGTCTGTCTTACGTCCGCTGCAGTGTCAACAGAGCAGGCTCTCCATTCACATTTGTTGAATTCTTTCGGACACCCAGCCTGGGCTCCTGAACACGCTAACACCACGGGAACTAACGGTGGAGACGTCTCGATGGAAAGAGACCGGACGGACACGGCAGACAAAGCAATGCCAGATCCCTGACCGGCTTTTAACAGCCGAATGATAATTTGGGGGAAATTTAAATACGCATTGAGTATTAGAGTAATATTTAACAAGTATGGCCCTCGCCAGTTTGGCTCAGTGGATAGAGCACCAGCCTGCGGACTGAAGGGTCCCGGGTTCGATTCCAGTCAAGGGTACATGCCTGGGTTGCAGACTCAATCCCCAGTAGGGGGTGTGCAGGAGGCAGCCGATCAGTGATTCTCTCTCTCATGATGTTTCTATCTTTTGCTCCTTCTCCCTTCCTCTCTGAAATCAATAAAAAATATATATCCTATATAATGAGAGGAATATGCTAATTATCAGTTACGCCATGAGGCATAACGACCAACCACATAATGACCGGATCACGAATCTGCAGGAGGGTGAGGCAGGCAGTGGAGAGCTACAGAAGGGTGCAGGGCAGCGAGCTATGAGGGGAATGGAGGGAGCTACAGAAGGGCAGGGCAACGGCGGAGAGCTATAGCAGGGTAGCAGTAACCTACTGGTGTGCGGATTCATGCGCAGGGCTACTAGTATATATATAAAAGGCAACCCCCCAAAATTCCTCAGTCCAAAAGAGAAAAAGGTAGAGAAAAAAGGCAAAATATCCACACTGATTAAATCTGGGTAGTGGGTGCATGAATCTTCACTCAGCGTCTCCCTCGTTGTACTAATCTGTACGTTTGAAAAGTTTCACAATACAAAGTACCTAACAAAAGGAAGACAGCTGTCCTGGCTGGTTTGGCTCATTGGATAGAGCATCGCCCTATGGACCGAAGGGTCCTGGGCTCAATTCCGGTCAAAGGGCATATGCCCAGGTGGCGGGCGGGCTCTATCCCCAGGGCGGGTGAGGGGCATGCAAGAGGCAGGCAGCTGATCAATGATTCTCTCTCATCATTGATGTTTTTCTCTCTCTCTCTTCTTTTCCCTTTCTCTCTAAAATCAATAAAAATATATTTAGAGCTGAAACTGGTTTGGCTCAATGGATAGAGCGTCGGCTTGGGGACTGAAAGGTCCCGGGTTCGATTCCGATCAAGGGCATGTACCTTGGTTGCGGGCATAACCCCAGTAGAGGGTGTGCAAGAGGCAGCTGATCGATGACTCTCTCTCATCGATGTTTCTAACTCTCTCTCTCCCTTCCTCTCTGTAAAAAATCAATAAAATATATTTAAAAAAAAAAAAAAAAATATATATATATATATATATATATTTATATATATATATTTAGAAAAAGGAAGAAGCAAGCTACTAGTATGCTGAGGGAATGAACTTGGGAAGGGAGGAGGGGCTGCGGTCACGGCCGTCAGCAGCTGGCAGGCGAGTGAGGGGCGGGGCGGCACGGAGGCACAGGGGCGGGTCTGTCACCTCCACAAAGTTGGTGTGTTTGGCATCTCGGACCGTGACCACGGCGTGCACCTCCTCGATCAACTTCTGCTTCTCATCGTCGTCAAACTGCATGTACCACTTGGCCAGGCGCGTCTTGCCCGCTCTGTTCTGGATGAGGATGAAGCGGATCTGGGGGCGGGAGAAGGAAGTGAGAGAGGCAGGGCAGGGAGGGCCAGCACTACGTACTCCCATCACCAGCCGGGAGACAGGGCCACACCTCCCTGCTGCCGGCCTTCCCCAGGGCCCAGGCAGGCCGCTGGCCACGGCTCCCATCCCAGCTCCCCCGCCCCTGTGGAGATTTCCCTTCCACAGAGCAGCCAGCTCTGCTCTCAGCTCCAGGGCCTGAGTCCAAGCTAGGCTCCTCCGCCTGGTCTGCCTGGCCTCGGACACGGATCCGCCCTTCTGAATGCCCATTTCCCCATCAGCAAGACAGGTTTCCTTCTCAAGCTATATTTTTTGCAGGTTAAATAAGTTTGTAAAAACAGTTCAGTGGCCCTAACAGTTCAGCGGATAGAGCGTCGGCCTGCGGACTGAAGGGTCCCAGGTTCGATTCAGGTCAAGGGCATGTGCCTTGGTTGCGAGCACATCCCCAGTGGGGATGATCGATGATTCTCTCTCATCGATGTTTCTAGCTCTCTATCCCTCTCCCTTCCTTTCTGTAAAAAAATCAATAATATATATATATTTTTAAAAACAAACAGTTCAGTGGCTGGCACATAGCAGACACTCAACAAATGTTTGCATTGCAGTGCCTGCTGGGAATTGTAGTCCCAAGAATGGGTTTGTGCGTCAGGGTGACAAGGTGGGGAAAAGAGATGGTCCTTCTTCCCAACATCCTGAGAAATTGTCTGTTTTCCTCCTGGCAATGCCAACCTCTTTTTTTTCTTTTTACTTACTTTTTTTTTTTTTTTTTACACTTACTCATTTTTAAAAAAATTGATATAATTCACATACCATAAAATCCACCAAACATGTATATAGCTCAATGGCTTTTACTATATTCCGACAACTGGGCAAACATCACCACTAATTCCAGAAACATCTCCATCAGCCCAGAAAGAAATCCCCCACCCATTAGCAGTCACCCTCCCTCCTCTGGCCCCCAGCAACCACGAGTCTTTCTGCCTCTGCATGGATTTGCCTGCGCGGCACATTTCACAGAAGTGGAATCACACAGTGTGTGACCTGTATCTGGCTCCTTCACACAGCAGGATGTTTTCAAAACTCGTCCATGCTGTATCCCCCTCTGTGGATAGACTTCATTTTCTGTATCCACTCAGCAGTGGCTGGACATTCGGGTTGTTTACATTTTTGGGTGATTATGAACCAGGCTGTTCTGGACATTCATGTGTAAGTTTTTATGTGGATGTATATTTTCACTTCCCCTGGGCAGAAACCTAGGAGTAGAATCGCTGGGTCACAAGGCAACTCTATATCTAACTTTCAGGAACTGCTACGCTATTTCCCAAAGCATCTGCCACTTTTTTTTTTCTTTTTCTTTTTTTTTTTAGTTTGGAAAGGCATTGGGGGTCAGAGGAGCTTCAGCTAACGGAGCTAAAGACTACCCCTTGACTCAGGACCCCGTGCTATTTATTAACACAATTTGTCTTCAGGCAAGGTGGAGACAATGCCACTTAAGTGACACAACCACTTGGTGCCTCAGTTTATTCACCTGGAAAATAGGGCCACATAAGGGTGTGATGAGGAGTAAATAATATATGAGAAGTACCCAGAACAGTGCTTGGCTCAGCTTATGCACACCAGGTCAGCTATGAGTATCGTCCGTGATGGCTAGAAATTTTGTTCTTATGGTTCTGAAATGCCAGATCAACTGTCATAGGGCTGCTATGAAAACTGAACGAGTTAATGCCAGGAGTGCTTAGCAGAGTGCCCATTACATACTGAGCACTTAATAAAATCAGCTATTATGATTACGGAGAGGCATTTGACCAAGAGGGTAAGAACTCCAACTCGGCAGTCTGAATGAATCTCGGCACTGCTCACTGCGTGTCCTCCTCCTCCTCTTCCTCCTCATCCTCCTCCTTCAGTGACGGCAAGTCACTGAACCTCTCTGAGCCTTAGTTTCCCCTTCTGTGTAACGGACATCACGAGATGTCCCTCCCTTGTAAGACTGTTGCGCAGGTTTACTAAACACAAGGGTCGTACAGTGACTAGCACAGACTACGTGACACATAAGCATAGTGGAACCTCAGTTGCCAAACTTAATTCATTCTGGAAGGCTGTTCAAAAAGCGATATATTTGAAAACCATCCTTTTTCCCACTTAGAAATCGTGTAGATTGAATTAACCCATTCCAGAACCCAAATGACTCCGTTTTAACCTTTCTCACTTGCCTGTGATCATTGTCCCATGAGCACTTTCACCCCCTCAGCAATATTAAGACCCTTGACGGCCTCCTTACCTTTCAAAATTGTACTAATGGTGGATTTCACCATGCCAGACTCGGGAGCCAGATCAGACACCTGAACACCTCTTATCGCCCTCTGCAATGTTTCCTTTTTTAAGCTCTATTGTTGGGATCACACTTTCCTTGGCACTTTGCTGCTACCACTAACCTCCTTAGAACCCAGGGAGACTGTGTTAACAGCGCGAGGTTTAGTGGTAAACTGACCCACCCTGGAGCCTTCTCTCCCCTGGCGCCTGAGAGGCGCCTGACTGATCACACAGGCATCGGTATGAGAGGGGTGTTGGGTCCAGAACCGAAGTGTTGTTTGACAGCCGAGACATTTTCCCATGAACACTTTGGTGGAGACGGGAGACGTTTGAGAGCCGAGGTTTGACTGTATTAGTTCTTATGTATCACTCACCGTCACCGGACTGAGAAAACTACGGCCCACGTTCGCCCGGGTAGGAAGCCTGCCTTTTGGGCCCAGTTCTATCTGAGACGGGCATGCGTGTGCCCATTTTATAGATAAAGAAACTGAAGCTCAGAGAAATAAGTCACACAGCCAGCAGGCAGAGCTGGGAGTCCATCGGCTTTGGTCCGAACTCCCTTCCCCTGCCCAGGGGGAGCCCCCGCCCTGTCGGAAGTCTGTTTCCTAAATCTCACTCTCCACACATTCTATCCACTTCCCCCCTGCAATCCAGCTGACGGGGACAGGCTATTACCATCTCCTTCCAAGAACCCCTGCTGCTGAGCCAGGGAAACCCACTTCCTAGCAGGGCAGGGGCAGGGGCAGGAAGGAAGGGCGCCTGTGTGGGGTGGACCTCTAAGGGGCGGAGACATTTGGGCTTTGGGGAAGGAGAGCTAGAAGCAAACCTACAGAGCTGACACCCACCAACATTCATCTGTTTCCCCAGCTCCCTGACCACGGAATCCTTTTTTTTTTTTTTAATGATCCAAAAGCCCCATCCCGGGGAGCAGGTGCCAAATCCAAATACCCAGTCCTTGCCCCCAAAGCCCAATCTCTCACTCCCATGCCTGCTCCGACCCCCCAACTCACGTCCCCGCTGGGAAGGCCCGTCACATTGCACCCCATTTCATGTCTAGCGTCCATTCCCTACCTCCGGGCCCTCTTCCCCTCTGCAGCACGTTTTCCCGGACCCTAAAGGCCGGTTCGCCATAGCGGTCTGCTTCCCGCCTCCGCTTCCCAGGCGCCCACCAACAGTCTCCCGCCTGTTCCAACACCCCCTTCCGCCTGCAATGCCAGCTTCCTGCCTCCAGAGACCCTTTCTCTTTTACCCCGATGCCTCTCCTCCCACGCTCCCAGAGGGCCCTCCTCTGGGGTCGACCCTCCCTGCCTCCAGTTCCTGGATCTTTCTACCCTCGAGACCCAGCCTCAGCAATTGCCTCCCTGTTTCAAACCCTCCCCCCCAGTCATCTCCAATGTCTCCCACTCGGACAGCCCTCTCCCCTCGGCACCTTCTCTCCAACGACCCGTAGCTCCAGACGCCCCGCTGTACCCCCCAAGCCCAGAACCCCCGCTCAGTTCCCCGCTTCCCGGCCTTTGATCGGCCCCGATCCCGAGAGCTCGCGCCCGGCCCAGACCTAGGCGCCGCCGAGGGGGGGCTTGTCAGTGCCCGACCCAACCTCCAACCTGCGCGTGGACCCACCCTCCTCCCGTCCCCACCACGAGCGCGCCCCAGTTACCATGGCGACCCCCGTCCGGACCCCAGCTGCCCCGGTCCCGCGGCGACTGGGCGGCTCCCGCTTTGCAAGGTGTTGGGGGACCCGAGGCTAGAGCGGACTTCCGGCAGAAGAAGCCGCTTGCCCTCTGGCGCACAGCCCTCTGGGAAATGTAGTCCCAAGAGTGGGTTTGCGCGTCAGGGTGGCAAGGTGGGGAAAAGAGGCGGTCCTTCTTCCCAACCTCCTGAGAAATTGTCCGTTTTTCCTCTGTCCGGTTCAGGCTCCACAGGCATGCTAGGAGTCGTGGGTGCGTGTCTCTTCGGAGGACTACAATTACCGAAAAAACCCTCGGCGGCGGGCGTTGCATTCTGGGAAAGGTAGTTCTAATGGCCTCTCCTCCAAGGCGAGCTGGGCATGCTGGGAATAGTAGTTTTAAATAAGAAACTGCGTGCGGAGCGCTCGAAATGTAACTGTCTTTCCGTGTTCACCCACGGCTTTGTTTAGAGTGTTTCCCTACAGGAGACGGAGAGTAGTGTAAGAGCATGAACGGTGTGCAAATTCTGCCGTTGCTCTTCCTAGCTGTGAGACTTTGGGCCAACAACTTCACCTCTTTAATTTCATCTGTAAAATAGGAGCCATCCAGGGGTCGCCTCGGTAGGGTTGTTTTAAAGCTCTGATAATTTCCAGAGTACCCAGCATAGTGTTTGACACATAGTAAGTGCTCAATAAATATTAGCCAACATCATGAATATTCATCGTTTAACACCAGGTAATAGGGGTCTTCTTCCTATCCAGAGGTACACTGTCTTCTTTAAGCTATGCAAATTGGCCCAGGGCCTTGTCTCCTCGTGCCTTTTGGAACGTCTTCCTTCCTTCCTTCTAAGGCTGGCTCCTTTTCTTTTTTAAAATAGGTTTTCATTTATTTTAGAGAGAGAGAGAAAAAAAAAAATCCATCGCCCCCTACTGGGGATCCAACCCCGTCAGGATTAGAACTGATGACCTCTCTGCCCATGGGACAAGGCTCCACGGAATGAGCCACACCAGCCAAGGAGAGGCTGGCTTCTTTTCTTTCTTTCTTTATTTTAAACAGCACTCCACAGACCTGTTTAGGGGCCCTACATATGAAGGTTCCCCTCTCATACCCCCAATTATGTAGGTAAGTAGTTTGATTTTTTTATAGCCTTTATTACAACTTTTTTCTCTATTACAACGCCCAATGATTTTATTTGGTGCGTGTGTGTTGACCTCCCACTAGGTGGAAAGCTATAAAGGGTAGGGAAGCTAGTAACTGTATCTACATTACCTAGTGTGGCGAGCCGACACGGCCACGGCACACTCAGCCCCAGGGCTCCATATGTGACACGCCAGCTCGGCCAGGTTCAGTGACCCTCAGGGGGGGCAGTGAAGGATTGAGGAAAGACAGACAAGAGAATGAAAGATGGGTCTGGGTGGGATACTTTTCCTGCACGGACAGTGCCACAGACTACAAGACGTGTCTTTATAGCCAGCCTAGAGGCCTAGTGCACAAAATTTAAGCACTGGCTGGGTAGGGGGGGGGGAGTTCCTCACCTTGGCCTATGCCCTCTATAAGTGGGACCCTTTGCTCCTTACCACCCACCTTCTCAATGCTCCTTATTGCTCAGTTCCCTGCTCCTTAGAGGCTCCCACCGCAGCCACTGTGCTCACCAGCCATAAAAAAAATCTCACTGAACATCTCAGCAATATTCCTTACAGATTTTTTTTTTTTCTGTTCCAACATCAATCTAGGATCATAGGTTGCATTTAATTGTCACATCCCTTTAGCCTCCTTGGATCTCGAACAGCCCCCTTACCTTGTCAGCATTTCAAGACGTTGGCATTTTTGAAGAGCCCACATCAGTGATTTTTGCAAAATGTCCCATAAATCTGATTTCTCTGATGTTTCTTCATGATGAGATCCAGGTTTGACATTTCTGACATTTTGGTAGAAATATCAAAGAAGTGATGCTGTTTCATTCTCAGAGCATGTTATGTTGGTTTGTCTCATTCTTGGTTAAGTTTGATCATTTGGTTAATGTCTGTCAGGTTATTCTTTTCAAAAGTTATCTATATATATAAAAGGCTAATGTGCAGAGTGTCCCCCTCGGGAGTTTGATGGCTCACTATGGGAAACTGAGAGTTTGATGGCTATGATGTGCGTTGACCCCAGAGGGCAGCACCACCAGAAGGCACCAGCCAGTAGCTGGAAGGTAGCTGGGAGGCCCTTATGGGCTCTGATCACCGGCCAGGCCTTAGGGACCTACCCATACACGAATTTCATGCACTGAACCTCTAGGATGATTTATATTAGTGGTTGCCAACCATTTAGACCTCATGGACCACCAGTGGACCACTGGTTGGCAACCGCTGATTTATATGATACCAAAAGCATAAGCAACAAAAGAAAAATAAATTAAACGTTATGAAAACTTAAAGTTTTTTTTTTTTGCATTAAAGGACATTATCAGGAGGTTGAAAGACATGCCACAGAATGGGATAAAATATTTGCAAAGCACATATCTGATAAGGGATTCATACCCTGAGTATATAAAGAACCACAATTCAAAAATGAGCAAAGGACTTGAATAGACAAGTCTCCAGAGAAGATCTACAAATGGTCAATAAGCACACGAACAGATGCTCAACAGCACTAGTCTTTGGCGAATTGCAAAATCAAAAGCATAGTGACACCACTTCACAACCATTAGGATGGCTATAATCTCTCTCTCTCTCTCTCTCTCTCTCTCTCTCTCTCTCTCTCTCACACACACACACACACACACACACACACACACACACACACACGAAAGCAGAAAAAGCAAGCGTTTGCAAGGATGTGGAGAAATTGGAACTCTCATCCATTTCTAGTGGGAGTGCATTATGGTGCAGCTGCTGCGGAAAACAGTTTGGTGATTTTTTTTTAAAAAAAGGGTTACACATAGCTGAAAACAGTTTGGCTCAGTGGTAGAGCGTCGGTCTGTGGACTGAGGGGTCCCAGGTTCGATTCCAGTCAGGGGCATGTACGTTGGTTGCGGGCATATCCCCGGTAGGGGCTGTGCAGGAGGCAGCTGGTTGATGTTTCTCTCTCATTGATATTTCTAGCTTTCTATCTCTCTCCCTTCCTCTCTGTAAAAAATCAATAAAAATATATTTTAAAAAAAGGGTTACACATAGAATTACCATCAGATCCAGCAATTTTATTTCTAGATATATAACCCAAAGAATTGAAAACAGGGATTCAAACAAATATTTGTACACCAATGTTCATATCAGTGTTATTCACAATAGCCAAAAACCTAATGTTATTCACAATAGCAAAAAACCAGTCTGCAAACCGATGCTCTATCCACTGAGCCAAACCGGTTTTGGTATAATTTAATATATTAAAAGAGATTTTTAAAATTGATTTTGAGCCTGGCTGGTGTGACTCAGTGGTTGAGCATTGACCCAGGAACCAAGAGATCATGGTTCGATTATAATTCAGGGTACATGCCTTGGTTGGGGGCTCGATCCCCAATGCGGGGCATGAAGGAGGCATCTGATCAGTGATGCTTAGGCAACTGAGCCACAGCGAACAGGGCCAATGTTTAAAGTTTACAGAAATTGAGAGGTTCGTTATCAATTCTTGCATCATCTATCTGGTGCGTGCCCACTGCACTGACCCTTAGGTGCTGAGAAAACGCAGCGAGCCCGAGCATCTTCGGCTCCCATTCCTCCCCCGTGATTGGCTGGCCTTCTGGCCAATGGCGGGAGAGTGCACTGCTCTCCGCCGTCTCCCGCAGCATCAGCGAGCTGCAGCTTCCCAGTTCGGCTGGTAGGTGGCGCTGTGAGCACACCGACGCCTCGGCCAAGTGCAAACTTGGTTTCCACCCTCTCCGATTCCTTCTGATTCTGAGAAATGGAGAGAGAATATGCTCCACACCTCCACCCTCTTCGCAAAATTATTTGTTATTTTTTTTTATTGATTTTCCACAGAGAGGAAGGGAGAGGGATAGAGAGTAAGGTGACCAGCTGTCCCAATTTTTAACAATTCGTCCCGCGTCCCGAGGCGTTTTAAATCGGGACTGTCCCGCCAAAAGCGAGATGTCTGGCCACCTTAATAGAGAGCTAGGAACATCGATGAGAGAGAAACGTCGACCAGATGCCTCTTGCACACCCCCTACCAGGGATGTGCCTGCCAACCAACGTACATGCCCTGGACAGGAATCAAACCTGGGACTTTTCAGTCCACAGACCCACGCTCTATCCACTGAGCCAAACCGGTTTCGGTGGCAAAATTCTTTGGTGGCTTTTCCCGCCTGTACATCTCTCCCAAGCTGGTCCGGATCCCCAGGCCCCGCCTTGTACCTACTCTGGCTTTTGGGTTGGTGTGACCATCTGCCCCAGTCATCGGGGCCTCTAGGGCAGTGCTTGGGCAATCTTGATAGCGGCCCAGGCCTTCAGAACTTCCTTCTGCCCAATAATTGTTTGTTGGGTTGTTTGTTTATCCTGGAGTGGAGGCTGGCGGGGTGTACCGGGGCGGCTGCCTCAGGGAAGCCTGCTTCCGGTGGTTGGCTTGCTCAGCTGACACCCGCCCTCGCCCTGGCCCTCGCCCTCGGGAAAGCACTGCGGAGCTGGGAGGACTTTCCTTCATGGTTCCGTTAGGCCATCCGGGGAAACCCTGCCCGAGCCTCTGCCTTATGCCTGGACCTAAACTGGGGACCTCAGCGGTGACCAGAGTCCCAGCCCTGTCCTCCCGGCGCTCAGTCTGGTGGGAGAGAAAGACCCATCCCTAGACATGGACAGTCCAGGGTGGTCAGGGTTTGAATGAAGGACCCAAAGTGGCTGTTTGTGGGAATCAAGAAGGGGAGCCTGATGCAGCCTGGAGGTCAGGAAGGGCCTCCTGAAAGAGGGGACCCCTGAGCTGGCATCTGAGAGAGGGGCAGGAGTTAGGCATGGGACAAGTACTCTGTCTTTTTAGCTACTATTCATTTCCCCAGGGCTTGTCATCATCTCTTTGGTTTAACATT